TTNTAAGTTAAAGTAATATATTTTGCGCACAGAAATCAAAGCCAGCAAAGTGAAACGACACATTTCCTCCATCGATTTATTCCGCACAAAACAGTGTTGGTTTTTGGTTGAAGACAAGACAGTAGACAACAGGCAGGCAAACTGAACCTTTGTGTTTGTCCCAAAAGTCGTACACATTTCCTGAAGACATCGATAAATCTTAGCTACAAGGTCATTTAACGCCATAACTCTAACTTCAAACTTCAAATACGCAACTTGCCGGTAACAGCAGATTAACACATGGAGACGTGACGAGCACATGGAGACGCGACGAGCATGGACATGATGTCATTCGCCCCTGAAGAATTTTTTTTTTGGGGGGGGGGGGCGCCAAATTGCTGTTCCCTAATAGATAGATAGACAGACAGACAGACAGACAGACAGACAGACAGGCAGATAGATAGATAGATAGATAGATAGATACACAGGTCTCGAATTCTTAGGCAATTCGCCATTAGAACTGCGTTCTGTCAAATGCAATGAGCATTGGAAATGCGCTTGATTTTGGTGTCATCTCAGATCTTTATTTGAATAAGTTATATATAGATTTGGGCAAGCCTAAAAGCGTAGCTCCTGGGTTGTTCAAAGCCCGATTAAGCTAACCCAGGAAAAGGTAGAATTTTGAAGTTTTCTGTATATTGTTTGGCCTTCTATTTTGAGTTTTAATAATCATCATATACACAAAACAAAGCAGCAAAAAACATTTGTGTAGGAGAAAAGTTCTTATTCGGTTAACATTTGATCCTGGGTTAGCGTTAATCAGCTTCCGAACAATGCTGCCCTGTTTCCAACAAGTTAACCTGACACGAGCCCACGATCCAATTAAAAACCAGCACTTGGTCAGCGGTTAACTTCAAAAAACACGTGACCTCGATGAGCTGTAAACTTGAGCCCGCGATATTGTCACGTGCTGCTGGTCCTTGTTTTGACAGGTGTCAATTGATCATAACATAGATGTCCAACATCAAAGAAGTACACGGTAAACCAAGGTTGCATGTCTCGGTCAACCTACCATTTGGAGTATGGCCGCCATGTTGCGCGACTCCGTCGTCGTGGCCGTCGTCGTGGCCGTCGTCGTGCTTATGTTCCCACGAGCAATACCGCTAGCCATTATAACCATGAGAAAATCAACTCATGGGTTTCCTTTTGTTTCCTACATGAGTATCGGGCTCTGCTTGGCGGCCCTTCAGGCCGGCAGAGCTCCGCGATAAAACAAAAGCCTTGTGGTTAGGACCTTGGAGATCTAACCACAAAACATGTAAAGCATGGAGCGATTCATAACTGTTTAATACTTAATCGAGCAATGCCAACCTTGGTGTTCCTCTAACTTTACCCTCCACTTCTCCTCCTCCTCCTCCTCCTCCCATAACAAGCTTGATATTGGGGCACTGCTCAGTGAAAGACTGACACAATCGACCAAGGAACAGAACTCTGTGAATGACAAAAGGTCAACCAACATACTGGGGTTAACGAGAGAATCACAAATGTAGGTTGGAACTCCTGACCAATATACACACAGGGAACACATTGTGCTAAGTCATTAAATGAATCTCATGATATTACCTGTCAATGCAGACTGTGTTGAACAATGAGTGTGGTTTCCCTGCAAGAACTTTGTCTGAATTCAACAATAACTTGTCTTTGTGACTGGTTATTATACCATCAATATACTGCAATAACCTAAAGATAAAAAGCATGTCTCTGAGATTGTTTTGTGTGATAATTTTTGATAAGTTTTGTCTCCAAAAAGCACTTTATTACTAAACAAGTACCACTATGTTCATTGGCATGATTTGGCAAGCACACATAAACAAAGCTTACAGAAATGCCACTCGAAGTAATCACGCATAAAAAATTGTTCATTATCTTTCTTTTTTATCATTTTTTATTGCTACACTTGAGTCAAAATGTCTCCTTCCTGACATATATTATCAGCCTTACCTAAAATATTACATCTTTGCAACAACTTAGGGGCATTAAGCATACTATTTAAATGCCTCCCAGACTTGGTACTTTTCTTCATGCCCTGGGTGTTTTTATTAAGGCTTCTTTGCCACCCTCCTCACTTTAGTAACAGTGCCCTCTGTTCATTTGACTTATTCATGCTGCTCATCTTCACTTTTTGCAGGCATCAATATTTTTTTAGCCCCATATCTTAGAATCTATGCAAGGAGCAACAAATCAATGTAAACATTCTCACTCTTTCACTTACTGATTGAATGCAGAAAAACAGGTTTCTTGAAGAAAAGATTGGATCTGGCAAGAATCACCGAACCGATCAAATGGGTCTGTTTCGTTGGAACTTGTCTTATTTCTGGTAAGAGAGGATAAGTCAGAGACTTTGATCACTGAAGTTCTTTTGGTGACCTCAGGACCTTGAGCTTTTTGACCATCCAAAATGAAATGTTGGGCATCTTCAAGAGTTGCTGCTAATTTGTCATCAACTGCTTTACACAATCTGAAAGGTGAACAGAAGAAAATCAGAGTCACTTTCAGTATACAGGAGTAACTTACAATGGCTGCTATTGTCATTCTAGTGTGACTGAACTGTGATCTTTGTAATGAGATTATAGCATATTTAGTAAGAGTGGTTTTCATTTGAGTGTCATAAAACCAAAACTGAACCAATTACTTACCAATCAAACTACTCAGTCAATCTCAAACCACAGTAAAACCAGAAATCAAAACCAAGGTAATTGCCTGATTACTTTAAACTGTTCTACTACACTTGTATGTTACTGCTACTGCTACTGTTACTGCTGCTACTGCTACTGCTACTGCTACTGCTACTGCTACTGCTACTGCTACTGCTACTGCTACTGCTACTGCTACTGCTACTGCTACTGTTACTGCTGCTACTGCTGCTACTGCTGGTACTGTTACTACTGCTACTGCGTCTTCGTCTTCGTCGTCGTCTTCTTCTTCTTCTTCTGCTGCTGCTGCTGCTACTACTACTGCCACTGTTAGTGCTAATACTACTGCTACTGCTACTGCTACTGATACTCCTACTCCTACTTCCGGCTACTATTTAAGTGATGTGATAATCATAGTGACAATACATGTCTATTTCATTGAGACTAGTATGTCTCTATAGAAGAGAACTTAATAATATCATCCACTGACATAAGGAAGAGCGTCACATATAGAAACAATTGGTACTAGTTACAATAGACCTTTTCAGCGATATACGGCAGCCATTTTGAATTCTATTGTTTCAAATAGCTATTATGGGATGCTCAGGTGGCAAATACATAACGACTTTCCTCCTGTGCATCCCATAATAACTACATGTATTTGAAACAATAGAATTTAAAATGGCTGCTGTATCGCCATGAAGGTCCATTGGTTGAATTCAAAAGTTATGGATAAAAATTGGAAAATAACATTTGCTAGTCACATTGGAAGAACACTGATGGTATCAAAATATTGTCCTCAATATTGTCTTAAATGATGAATTTGTGTATACTACCTCTGTACAGCAGGAGTGCAGACACGGGCCTTAAGTGTAAGTCCACTTTCCTGTTCACAATGTGTTGCACCCTTTTTCTGTGATCCCCACATGGGTTTAGGAACATCATTTGGACTCTCTTGCCACACATACTGGGCAATGTCCCTTTCCCAGAGCACAGCTGCATCAGTGGCAGAGGTGTCAGAGTCAGAGATGTCGTCTTGTGATTTGGTTATCATGTTCTTACAAGATGAAATCGTGGCATCAAACAGACCTTTCAAGATATCCTAAAATGGGAATAGAGAATAGAAGATTGCTGCACAAAGATATGGCAAGGTTGAGGGACTAATTACTTTTCTTTTTTTTTTTCAACAACTGGAAAAACTAGAGGAGTTACTACAAAGGGAAGGTGAAAATGTCAGAGCCACGGTAGACAACGGTGAAGTTTTTCTGCATCAGTGAAACAGACATTTAATCCCAAGTTATGATAAGAGTTGAATCAAAGGTTGTTTCAGCTATGCTTGCTAAAGCTACAGATTGGTGTTTGTTTGTTTCATTCGTATTGTGCATAGTTACATGTACATTATTCCTTAGCTCATCTCAGTCAGGAACAGCCCTTTCTCAGTAAATCCATTCCTATAGAAATTGGTATACCATTTGATATACAAACTAAGGTAATGAAAAACACACCATAGAAGCAATCATAACTGTGCATGCTTAATTCAAGTTACTGCAATTTATTTGACTGTGCAAACATTCTTGCAAGCAACTCCTGAATGTGCTCATGTATCTGGAACTTGCCACAAGTGTAGAAGAATGATATTTCTAATGACCTTGATTAGAAACTATAGCTCGCTTGCATATCAATCTCTGTGCTGCAGCAACACTTTGCTAAGCCTCATTCACTTCAATAATGGTTTACTTTCTTTGAATAAAGAAAGATGACACAATCATGGGCAGTGTAGGCAGTATACCTTGGCTCTAGAGAGAAAGAGGGGTTGAAGAAATTCATCCCAAATGGATAAATTCCTTCCCAATACTTGGGTACAAAGAGTTGACCAGTCTAGGGTGTGGTCACTGCCGCCTGCTGATGATGACATGCCTGCTATCTCTGTGGTGACCTGAAGGGAAATTTAAGACAGGAAAACAAATAATCGAAAAACATTTATAAAGATCTGCTAGCTATCTTTAAATCAAAAGTGGTATTCCCACCTACTTAATGTCTCTTCTTGCCTTTCAAAATTATGTATTCAACAAGTGGTTCTACCCTTTAATCTCCTAGGAAGGTTTCCTTTACACCTAGCCTAGATAAGGTAAAAGTTGTTTGTTCTGAATTCCATCAATACAATGTAAATTTTCTTTTCTGTTGATTAGCATCAAAATGCAACCTCTTTGGAAACTGCCATACCAAAAAAAAAATTGATGTGATAGACATCTAATTTTGTTCACTAATAGAGGCTTACAGTGTAGGTACCAACCTGACCAATTAGATATTACAGGAAAGAAAAAAAGAGAAAGGTCTCTGAAGAGTCCCTTGGCGAGGACGAAACCAAAGTGCTGTGTAAGACTAGCCACAAACAATGTATTATCACAAGTAACTGTCAACTTTATTGTCAATTTTCATTCATGAATCTGTGCGGTTGGGAATCCTTATGCGATATAAGGCAAGATTGCTGTTATCATTTTGTTAGCAAACCGGATTTTGGGCGCGATGCCCAATAAGTTTGCCACGCAGAAAGGACCCTAGCGAAACAAAAGACCTGCTTAAGACTAGCCATGAACAATGTATTATCACAGGTAATTGTCAACTTTATTGTTAAAAAAAAATAATTCCAACTAAAATTGTTTGAGTCAATCAAGGATGCTCAAAGAAAATAAGTATCATTAATAAAAACAACTTTGTCACCAAACTGGCATAAGGAAGAAGAAAAATAATTGAAATGTTGTAGTTATAAACAAGCCTGCAAATAAGTCGGTCATCAGACAATTGTCCAGTAAATTTAAGGTTTTGACAGGCAAAAGCTTAGCCTGGTCGGACACTCTGACCATGCATTTCTTTTTTTTTCCTTCACATTTTTATTTCCATTCAGGTGTACATCAATTTGTAAAAAAAAGAAAAAAAAAATAGGCTAAAATTAATAAATGGCTGTTGAGTTTACATCAGTGGCTTATGTTATACTACAAGTGACGAAAAAGAAAACTACACAAGAAAAAAGACAACAAGAACAAAGGACACAAAAAAATAAATGAATGAATCACTTTGTGATTACAGAGAGCAAACAATCTAAATTATTTCTTTGGTTACTTACGTATTTAATCTATCAACATATTAATTTAATTTCTGGCCAGGGCTAAATATTCATTTTTTTTCAAAATAATCCTTCTTATTGATTTTACGTTCAGTCTCACATTTTTTTAGCTATTTTGTTTTGATAACCTTTAATTTTAGGATGTATTTGGTTTCTTCTGCAGTCCCACAAAAACAGCTTTCCAACAATAACAAAGTAATTTAGTAATTTTGTTGAAGGGCATTGCTTTGATACTGCATCAAATATAACATTCTGCAATGAAAGACAAACCTGTTGATTTGATAAAAGGAACCAATAAGATTTAAAATCGTTCCAAAATCGCCTTGAGTAAGGGCATTGGTAAAGGATATGGTACAACATTTCTGGCTCGACCTCACAAAAAGTATGAACATTGCCTGTTCTGTAACCAATTTTGAATAATTTTTTATTTGTGTAGAGTATATTGTTAAGCCTTAACATAAGATCTGAGTGCAACAGAATGACGTAACAGAAAAAATTCTCTCAAATGATCATCCGAAAGGTTAAAATCGCTTTTCCATTTATGGATAATGTTAGGAGGCTGTGTTTTTTCCGTGACAAGTAGTGAATAATAATCTTTTGATTTCTTTTTCGTCACATCAAAGATGTTGTGAATCAGAAATGGAGGAGAGGTTAATGGTGGGGATGTGTACCGGGCATTTCTGCTACAATGAAAAATGCTTTAACTGTAAATTTGTGGCCCAATATGGAACAAGTTATTTTATTGTACTGCCACACAATACTACGCAAAAAAGCATTATCAGTTTCATTTTGGTTCCATTTCTGAGAAATCATTTTATCACGCAGAATATGTTGTCTCAAATCTCACGTCAGATTGCAAAGAAGTCACATCAGTGGCACTATCCCTATGTATTAATTCACACATACTTTTGCAGTGGCATTGCAAAAGATCATGAATATCCAGTTAGTCTGAATTACGTTTATCTGAAAAACTACTAAAATCTGAGGTCTTATGCTATTACTTGTTGTTTGTTATCTGCAAGTGTTGTGGAATAAATTTTCAGTAATAATTTGACCTGATCCAAATTCAATACAAGGCCCAAATTCTCACATTTCGTTTATCTGAATGCAATCACTCCAAAATGTAACCAAATGTTTTTCTACTCCGCATGATCAAAAAATCAGTTTTACTATGTATAGCTCTTTATAGTTTTTTTTTTGCGTCTATGGTTCAAACAAAGTTTCCGTACCACAAACATGTTTTTGTGAAAAGTGTGAATGTACAAATTAGTCACGCTTTGTAGTATTCCAATTTCAACTAATTATGCAAATGTTTTATTCTATTGACCTCGAAAATGGCTTTAAGAAAAAGTCGCAGAATTCATTTAAGCCAATTTTCAAGTGTCTGAATGTTACTGTGGATTTTATACTGACAAGCTGTCCATGCGGGAGATCATTTCATTTCTTTTTCAGGGTCTTCTCAGACGTAGTGGGAAACTTTATACGTGGGAAAATACAGAATACACATGTGATCAAATACAGTCCAACCTCTATTAAGTGGCCACCCTCGGGATTTTGAAAAGTGGCCACTTAATAGAGGTTGGCCACTTAATAGAGGTACAATATAAATCGGATAGGAACGGCAGTAAACATGATTCTATTGACTCTATATAGCAAAATGCTTTTAAAAAGTGAACATATATGAAGATAAATAAAAAACAAAAGATCAAGTGCATTTCCAGCCCATGCATAGTTCTAGCTCTAACACAGAGGGTACATAGTTGAAATGTACAGTATTTCTGCGGGTTGATAATGTACAGAAAAAATGCAAAACATCATTGACAAGTTTCTAAGGCCTTTTTGCATCAACAGTTAGTATGTGAAAAAATTTAGCTCAAGATATTTCACGGACGATTTATCTAAAATAATCCGTCAATGCTGTTTGCTGTTTTGGGGTGTGAAGTTGTAATGACGAGATTGTGTCATTTGCCTTTCCTTCAGCTAGGGCAAGGTCTTGGTACCCATTAAATTGGGCAAAGTGCCAGAGTTGGTCAGTTATGTGCAAGGCTTCTGCAAGGCTCTTGATTGATGGCTCTTCTAATTCCTTGTTATAGTCGTCGTCGATTGAGGTGTCTTGTGAAATGAATTGAACGTCCAGATCATCATCAAGCAACTCACTTCTGACCTCCTCCCTCCAGTTTAGGTTAGATGAATCAATCAGGCCGGCGCAGATTGCGGTATCATCATCACAGGAAACATACTTCTCCACAGAGCATCCGATCCATTATAGTTTTCAAGTTGGCAAGTTCCTCTCCTTCTAAGGGTCGTCCTTGACTGGTTCATCTCGGGGATACAAACCAGTCTTCTGAAAGCACTGTGATAGTACTTGGCAAACATTGTTCTAGGCTTGTCTCCCCCATTCAATGGCCATAAGAACATTGATGGATTTGACAATTTCGGACGCGTTTTTCTCACCATCAACTAGAGAGAAAACGTACTGCAGCATTCGCTTTCTGTAAAGGACCCTCCAATTGGCGATTATACCAGCATCTAGTGGCTGTGATTTGGAAGTGGTGTTTTTTAGCAAAAACAGAACGGTGATGTTTGAAAACTGTCCGGACAGAGTTTGCGGATGACAAGGAGCATTATACATAAACAGAAGGATATGTCTATTGTGGCACTTCAACTGGTGATTTAACTTCGACAGAATTGTTGTCATGATCTCTGTATTCATCCAAGCTTTCTTATTGGCGAAATAGGAGCAGTTGTATGGCCGGCTTGGCGACTGTAAGCTCTTAAAGCATCTCGGACTGATGAACGTGCCAAACAACAGGATCTTCCTTCTTCCCTTCCGCATTTACAAAAATGCCCATGTTAATTGTTGCTTCGCTTTTTTCCCTCCAGTGCACCATCTTCCCTTGGCGTCTAGTGTTTTTTTCAGGGAGGCCACACCAAAAGCAACCCGTCTCATCCATGTTCCAAACATCATGCGCATTCCACCCAGTTGTAATTTCCCTTGCATGCTTGTTCCAGCTTTCCATAGTCTCCTTACTTACGTCACCTGCTTCCCCAGTGACCGTTTTGTTGCAGATGCTGTACTTCTGCTTGAATTTTTTCAAGCCAGCCATTGGAAATGACAAAATCAGAAATCTCCAGTTTTTCTGTGATGAACGTCGCCTTTTCTTGGAGCATAGAACCGGAAACAGGGATGTTAGAGTTTCTACACATTGTATACCAGTCACACACAGCCTGATTCACATCTGAGTAATTGGATGAACATTTTCTTTTTGCGTGATTTGGAGTTTCATTGCTGGCAAAGGTGTCCATGATCACCTCCTTGTTTTTCAGTATTGCTTGAATCTGCATCTTGCCTATTCCAAAATGGTCAGCTTATTTCCTTGATCCAAGGTTACGGTTCTGCTTTACAAACTCGAGGACTTTAACTTTCTCTGAAATAGCAAGGCATTTACGCTTCTTTTGGGAAGTTGCAGAGCATGTTTGTTTTGCCTTTGCCTTTGTAGTATTGCTTCCCCTTGGTGTAGCTGACTGTTCCTCGACGCAAGGTTTAAGCTTTGAATTTGTACACGGAGTGCATATCGACACAGCATGCCCTGGCTTCCATCCAGGTTCTTCCTCAGAGGCAGGAACGGAACAACTTTTTGATCTGTTGCAGACTGGCTTGGCACAATTCAAACATCTATAACTTGTTTCCTGGCCGCAAATTTGACAAATGAGAGCTACAATCAGTAGGCATCATTGCGAGTTATTGCTACACAATGACAGGGCACATTGATTGCAATTTAATAAAGGAAACAATTTCCCGCTCTTTTATCCATTACTTTACATGATTGGAGTGGCACGGGAAAATTTATGACAGTAATGTTGCTTTGGATAGAAATGCATTATGTGATGTATGTGGCTTAAATTTACAGTATCATTGTAAACCAGTAAGCAGACAGTCCAAAGTTCATTCTGTTGGCCTGAGAAGATTATGGCAGAAAAGGAATCAACAAGCGAAACCGGATTACAGGTGAATTCTTTCATAAGATGGTACCATGAGTATCAAGAAATTTGGACACTGGAGATAGGCGATGAATATGAACTCAAGTGAGAGCCACTTAACATGGTTGATCACAATGCTGTGGCAATTGTCCGCAAAAGAGAAGGTGGGAGGTCTAGGAGGAAATGCATCCACGAGAATAAATTAAATGGTGAAACAGTTCTTGGACATGTTCCCAAGCTTATGGCCCCGTGGCTTACAAAATTTCTCAAGAGGCCAACAAACACAGGAAGAGCTGTTGTGAAAGGCAAGTGCGTAAACAGAGGGGCCAGCTATGGTTTAGAAATTCCATGCGAGTAATGCTTCACAGGAGACGAGTTCTCAATTCAGTGGTTAAAATCAAAACTTCGGGAGCAAGGATTTTGTAGATTTCCAGTACAGCAGTAATAAGGTTTTCCTGTACAGATTTTGGTTGTAACAAAACAGTGGGCCAGCTCTATCTATTGTTAGCTATTGTCATGTTTGTATAGCGTCGGATGTGAAAAGTTTGCATGTGTACATGGCTTGTGACTTGTTATAGTGGAGATTAAATTGCAGTTCTTGTTTTCTTGTTATCAGCTATCACCTTATATCATCTGTCACCATTTTGCTTGGAAAGATAATTTGCTGGCCACTTAATGGAGGTAAAAAACCATATAAACAGGGCTCAAAATTGCGACCAATACAGCCGCATTTGCGACTCAACTTTACTTATTTGCGAATAGAAAAACGAGAGTAGTCGCAAATTTGCGACTAGGTTTTGCCTTGACAGACACAAATTAAAAAAAAGGTGCACTAAACTTCAAGGTACCTCATTCAGTAGGTCCCACACAGCATCTCGTATAGAGGCCAAGCCTTTGAGGCTACCTATGTATTTAAGCAAATTGTTGACTCCAGCAGTGACATCCTTGATACACCTTTAGTTTAAAAATTAAAAAGAAATGATTACTAAGCCATAATTATACCCTCTCCTCTCCTCCTTCTCCTTTAAATGCCTGCCATGCAGGCTATTAACCAACTCACATTGAAATCCATTCTGCACAGTTGTGCTGAATATTCTTTCTGGATATCACAGATGGAAATGCCCTCACATGTGGTCTGTAACCTGCAGCAAGATATAAAAGATTTGTATGAGTTAAAGTTTCAATTTTCCTTGGTTTATCAAAAACCATTTTCCTGCCTTCCAAATGCGACTAACTGATACTGTCAGTGCAACATCACAGTATTCTTCTTAGGTATGTTAGAACTGGTGGCTGCCTCACTGGAATTATCCAAAAAAGATATCTGCCAGCTGGCATAAAAACTCTGATGGCACCTTTGGCTATATCTAATTTGTCTCAGTGAGAAAGCATCATTAAACTAGTCTCAAATGAAATTATGTGTTTTGATTTTTAAATCAATTAAGTGTTATAAATCTTCTGATATTTTGACAAAATAGACTTCAGACAAAGTTCTCCTGGGTTTGTGGGATCTTCTAAATATTCCTCATGAAATTTCCATATCTTTGAAATGTACATCATTCTAGCCATGTCATAGCTGCGATGCTAAACACTCAAATGAAATCAAAAGGCTTTTAAGCCAACTCGTGATATTTGAAACAAAACATGTTTCATGTAATACATATGCAGGGGTGGTCAAAAAGATTTTGAAGGGTTTGTATGTATGATGATGAGATTTATGCAAATGAGCAACCGGTTTATCATCCACAAATTTCCAGGGTTGATTTATTCTGTCAGCGGGTAATTAACAAGTGATAGCGTGTATATGAGTGATCAGATGATACAAATGAACATGACTTTCTTTGCAAGCTGAAACATCATCTGAACTCATGTACAGAGAAACCAAATTTCCTTGTTAGAATAAATTTCTATAATATATAGATTGAGGCCAGCCTAAAAGCATAGCTCCTGGGCCGGGTTGTTCAAAGCCTGATTAAGCTAATCCAGAAAAAGGTAGAATTTTGATTTGAGTCTTGAAACTTTACAGTGAGGTTTTCTGTATGATTATTGTTTGGCCTTCTGTTTTGAGTTTTAAGAGGCTGTCTCTGTAAGAACCGACCACTGATTTTACTTCGAAAATTCGATTTTTCTCATAAGCTGGGATTTTGAAGCCCTTACCTAGTTAATCACTAAAATGAGTTTTATTTCATTAAAAATTCCAATTGAAGTTTTCTAGGATTGATTGAAGTTCGGTCCGCTCAACACAGGTTTCATGCCCGCCAAAACTGTTGTAAAAATAGCACATATTGCTGGCGTTCTAAAAAAAAATAATATTCGCTCAAAAGTCCCAATTCTTGTTTTCAACTATAGATATATCATAGCAGCTTGTTTAGCCATGTTGCAATTATAATTCAACGTTGTTCCTTCAATGGTTAAAAGAAAATTTTCTACCCGTTAAATCGAGTTTTGAACCAAACGCGAAAATAGCTCTACTTTGCAGGCACGTTTTAAAAATGTGGCACCTGTTTGAAACTGCTGAACTACATAAATAGAAAGTATAAATGTCCCTTAATTTAAAACAATAATAAAATTTGTCTGCCCACTAGGTTTTCAAAACTAACGACCACTTAAAGTTCAGGAAATTTCTTCCCGTGAGTATAACGAGAAGACTGGGAACTAAATCACTTGTTGTAAACACAAAATGGCCCTGGCATTTATCAATCCTTCCTTGGCTTCCCGAATCACCGTTTACTGTTCATACATGTATGTGTGCCGAAAGTTGTCCAAAACAGTGCTTCTACAAACC